CTGCGTCTACCGAAGAGTATACATGTCGCAATTTAACAAGTCTCAACGTATACCTCATTCCTTGTAGTCTACAAGTGTAGACTCTAAATTATGTCGTAATTATTACGAGCCGTTGTGCGCTCCAGCGCAGTGTACGGAGACTCATGAACCATCATACGGTTTCCCGGTGTTTATACTTGATTGTATTACTCTGTTATTACTGTTATTGTATTGTGCGCCGTGACACCGGTGGCGTCACGTATTTCTGCATGCGTGCTGAGGCCTTGCTCGAGCACTTGCCTAGTGCTCTTAAAGGTTAGACTAAGGACAGGAGTGAGTTAAGCTTCTGATTCTTACTGGCCTGGGACTTAGGCTACAGCTCAAGTTAGTACACTGTGTTGGGGTTTACTGGCCGCTAGTGGTTATACTTCGTACGTTAAGTAACGTAGTTAAAGATATGGTTTCGGAAATCATCAATAGATTAGGCATTATGTTCACTAGTAACACTCGTCCGGGAAATCTTCGAATCTTGCGCCGCCTTGTAGTTCTTCTACAACGCGCATCTCGCGTCATCTATAACGGTTTACTAAAGATACCGTAACTTGGCAGGCGCGGTGGTTCTTCTTCGCCTGCTTGAGAGGAATGTCGCTTGGGTGATTCTGTAATTACCGAGTAGAGCAACTTTGGTGCTCCCCCTGTTCTCTCCTCGGCGGAGGTTCATCCTGTGCAGATCGTCGTTCATCGGCTTTCGAGTGGATGTGTAATGTATCCAGTTTTTACTTAAATAAGATGAGCGTCCCCTGCAAAGCTGCTAACGCTGCCACTCGCAGTGCTTGCCGTGCGGCTGCTGTCGAGGCTGCCAACACTCCTATCAATGTCAAGCTCTCTGAGGTCAAAACCATGTGTCCGTTCTTCGCCAAGGTCTCGAGTAGCCCGGACGCCTCGACTCTGGAGGCCATGGCACACGCCTGCCCAGTGATGAGTGCGGTCCAGAAGCCAGTTGTCATCCAAGACGACACGAATAAGTTGGCCTTTGAGGAGGCTCTGGTGACTCGTAAGGACGAGATGTACGAGGCCAAGTTCAAGTTCAACATTGATAAGCTGCAGGAGGAGGGCCGTTATCGCTACTTCGCTAACTTGCAGAGGCATTGTGGGAACTTCCCCAACGCTACCTTTCATGGTTTGAATCACGAT